CCGTTATTCCTCCAGAGTCTCCGGTATTTACTTTGTTTTCTTGCTTGTGTCGGCAGTCGTGGCCAAAGGAGGATTCAGACAATTTTCCGAACTTTCTGGTTGGTTTCTACTGTCCGATATTGTAGCACGCTAACTTTGTTTGGGCTCCTGAACGACACGGGGGAGCAGCATTTTCTTCTTGACTGTTTTCTTGTTGACCGGTTTGGTGTTGACTGTTTTCTTGTTGACTGTTTTCTTGTTGACTGTTTTTGCTGACTGTTTTCTTGTTGACTGTATTCTTGTTGACTGTTTTCTTGTTGACTGTTTTTGCTGACTGTTTTCTTGTTGACTGTTTATGGTTGACTATTTTCTTGTTGACTCTTTTGGTGTTGACTGTTTATGGTTGACTGTTTTCTTGACTGTTTACTTGTTGACTGATTATGGTTGACTGTTTTCTTGTTGACTGTTTTTGCTGACTGTTTTCTTGTTGACTGTTTTTGCTGACTGTTTTCTTGTTGACTGTTTTGGTTTTGACTGTTTTCTTGTTGACTGTTTTGGTTTTGACTGTTTTCTTGTTGACTGTTTTGGTGTTGACTGTTTTCTTGTTGACTGTTTTGGTGTTGACTGTTTTCTTGTTGACTGTTTTGGTGTTGTCTGTTTTCTTGTTGACTGTTTTGGTGTTGACTGTTTTCTTGTTGACTGTTTTGGTGTTGTCTGTTTTCTTGTTGACTGTTTTGGTGTTGTCTGTTTTCTTGTTGACTCTTTTGGTGTTGACTGTTTATGGTTGACTGTTTTCTTGACTGTTTACTTGTTGACTGATTATGGTTGACTGTTTTCTTGTTGACTGTTTTTGCTGACTGTTTTCTTGTTGACTGTTTTTGCTGACTGTTTTCTTGTTGACTGTTTTGGTTTTGACTGTTTTCTTGTTGACTGTTTTGGTTTTGACTGTTTTCTTGTTGACTGTTTTCTTGTTGACTGTTTTCTTGTTGACTGTTTTGGTGTTGTCTGTTTTCTTGTTGACTGATTATGGTTGACTGTTTTCTTGCTTGTGTCGGCAGTCGTGGCCAAAGGAGGATTCAGACAATTTTCCGAACTTTCTGGTTGGTTTCTACTGTCCGATATTGTAGCACGCTAACTTTGTTTGGGCTCCTGAACGACACGGGGGAGCAGCGTCTGCCTCACAACCAATCAGGTTAGAGGAGGTGGAGAACTGCTTTGTTTACAGTCAGAAAGAGCGGACAGCTCAGAAATGTTCAAATGTTGACGACACAGACAGAAGAGAACACAGAGATATCGATATATTACCAAATGTCATCAATAACTAATTGATTTTTTGTAAATAGACCACAAAATAAAAAGATGCTTCTTTAACGAACTCCTGCCTGTCGTATCTTTAACAGATGAGTCATGAACAGACAAATGAGCTACAGAGACCCTAACTGTTTTTTTTATGCACCAGGCTGTAAATAAAATGATCTCTCGGCATTTTAACATGGAACTCTGTGAGGACTGAGCCGATACAGGACAGCGCCTCTAGAGGACATAAGGGGAACTGCAGTCTGATGTGGTTTCATTTTCCAGATCTGCCACTAAAATGATGTTTCCATCCACAGCTGAACTGGACGTCGTTACAGAGCCACCATATGTGTTTTTATACACTGACATACTGAACCAAAAAAAACAGGGCTGTCCCGATACAACTTTTTTACCTCTGATACGATACCGATATTGATCCAATATTGGCTCAAACTTGTGCGTGACAAGTTTTGCACTCCCACACAGCCGACATCACTCCTACTCCTCGTTACTTTGTTCGTACCTCAGTTCACACTGTTGTTGTGATCACATGAGCTCTGCATGCTAGAGGTGCCGGAGTGGAGTCTGGAATGGACTGCTGTGCTGATACCGGAGATTTTAGATTCAGACCGATACAATCCGATATTTGTTTTTGGCTGATATTGGACTGATATCAGATATGAATATCGTATCGGGACAGCTCTTAAAAAATTGTCTCTTAGAACATTTTTCCATCTGTCTGTGCGTCTCAAAGAGGAGAGCGTGGATGAAACTTCAGAGGACTGACCCTGGAGGCTGTTTGGTTTCATTCTTCGTCCTCCATCAATCTTCTACAGCATTCAAATTAGTGATGAATGAAAATCAGGTTAGAGCTCGTTTTGCCGCCCCCTAGAGGTGCATGTACAGGTGGAGAATCAGAGTTAGGAATGACCCGAGGTTTACACTGACAGTAGTTTTGATTGATGCTGACTGTAATGAGGGTGAAGCTAATGTGATTGTTTGAGTTAAAGGTGGTGATGGATGAGTTTACATCCCTGGAGAGAAAATAAACGAGGAGAGTTTCTGCTGTAGGCAGTGAGCCGGCAGCAGAGAGTGTCAGAGTTTAGTTCGGAGACTAATGATGTGCCCGATGTGAATGAAAACGCTCGTATTGAATGAAAAGTTAAACCATCGTCTCTTTCATTAAAAGTGCAGAGAGATGTGACTCATGCAGCCTGCAGCTTCCTGCTCCTCTGAGCCAACCACCAACCAGAGATCGACCCCGGAGCAGCCAGGCCCGGGGTTATTAGAGTTTAACAGTAATGTTATATGAAGCGCACCGTACACCAGTAACATCGGTCAGTATGACACAGGGTAATTCACAGGCTGAGGGTTACTACAGTTCAACGGTACGACAGGCAGGAATCCGTGAAAGAGGTGTCTTTTTTGTGGCGTATAAATCCTTTAATATCAGTCAATAGTTATTAGTTATTGATGACATTTGGTAATATATCGATATCTCTGTGTTCTCTTATGTCTGTGTCGTCAACATTTGACTGACGCTGCTCCCCCGTGTCGTTCAGGAGCCCAAACAAAGTTAGCGTGCTACAATATCGGACAGTAGAAACCAACCAGAAAGTTCGGAAAATTGTCTGAATCCTCCTTTGGCCACGACTGCCGACACAAGCAAGAAAACAAAGTAAATACCGGAGACTCTGGAGGAATAACGGGCGCTTAAAACGGAGGTAGACCGGACAGTCCCACCTGATCAGCTGACCTTTAGAGGCCTAGTTTGACCCAGGGCTTCATTTGTAAATCAGAAGGTGCCGGAACACAAATTACATATACGACAGTTAAAGAATGAGGAGAAGGGCACAGGTCCCAGAACATGTATACAATGTAAATGTAAATGCCCACATGCCACGCTGTGGGACTTAGAAGCCTCGATTTCAAATAATAACCATCTGTTTTCTACCGCTTATTCCCGTTCCCGGGGTTGTGGGGGGGCAGGAGCCTGTCCCAGCATCTTTGGGCGAAGGTAGAGGACACCCTGGACAAGTCGCCAGTTCATCACAGGGCTGACATACAGAGACGAACAACCATCCACGCTCACATTCACATTTGAATGTGGCCAGTTCACCTGACCCCACTTCTGCATGTTTTTGGGATGTGGGAGGAACCGGAGTACCCGGAGTAAACCCACACAGACACGGGGAGAACATGCAAACTCCACACAGAAACACCCTGACCCAGATTGGAACCCAGGACCTTCTTGCTGTGAGGCGGCAGTGCTAACCACTACACTGTGCCGCCCTACAAATAATATCCATGATTTAAATGTTATGATGATAATTTACATTTATTTTAGACTTTACTCCACACAGCACAAATGTCCACATCACCACAGGTGGGTCTTACAGTACACAGTCATTTATCAACAGGTCTAACGTTTATAAAAATAACTTTTAATGAGTCAAACAAATCTTCCATTATTATTATTAATATTCAAAGATCGGCACAGCGGCCTGTTAATAGACAGTCTGCTCACCATGTTTAGTCCAAAACTTGCTCCCTCCTCTTGCTCCAGCTGTTGTACCAGACTGGCTGTTGCCAGGGTACTCGCCTGTTGCTCCGCCTGTCGGTGGTCCACCTGGCTGACTGCTAGCGCTGTAGCTGGCTTCTGCTCCGGCTGGTGGTGATCCTAACCAGCTGCTGCCCCGGTTCCAGCCTCCTGTCCTGGCTGTCGGTGAACCCGGCGTGAGCCTCCTACTGCAGCTGGTTTTAAACGGTAACATGATCGCTGCAGCTGCTGCCCTCGTCGCCGCTTGACTTGTTTTGAAGTACTATGCAACTCTTCCTTCCTTTTGAAAAAGACAGTAAATTTAACTGTATTTTTGACATGTTTACGTTGAAATGGTAACAGTTTTTTCTCTCTGTTTGCTCCTCAGATGTGGCGAATTTTAAATATTTTTTTCTGCGCCAGGGGGCGTGTCTCTGTGCCAGGGGGCGTGGCTTGTTGGCCCAGCTTTTTAGTGCGTCACAGATCTCCAACTCCTTAAATGACGTTAAATCTTAATAAACAACATGAAATTCTTGGAATTTGTTCTGTAAATTAATATATGCAGATTATTATTTTATTTTAAACATTTTTATGATTATTTATTTATTTTATGAGCGGTACCAGATCTGCCCAAGTAAGTACCGGAACACTGCGGTTCTTGTTCCGGCAGGATCCGGCTCGAATTAACCCCTCACAGTCTGCTCTCAGTCTGGAAGTAGGAAAGATAGATCTGTTCTGAATAGAGTTAGTATCTAGTATCGGTGTGTAGATGCTCCATATACACACAAATACGCGGGTCCTCCTGTTATTTTTAAAAATAATTTAGCTGAGATTTATTTTAACCCGAGAAGACGATCAGGTGATTTTCCTGATGTTGTGTTTGTCTGAGTATCATGGGTCTCTGAGTATCTTCAGCATTTCCTTTGACATCTTCGAAGACATCTTTGTCTCCCTGATCCAAAACCTGTTTTTTCCTACAGACACGTGTTCACAGGCTGATTTTAGTGATGGAGGGTAAAGTAGGTTTGGGTGGGTTTGATAGCTGCATGTAGAATAAGGTCAGTAAGAGTGGTCCTGGAGTTTACATGCTGTCTTTATTTAGCACAGTGGTTTTGAATAACTAGAGATGCACCGATCTGATATTTGGATCGAATATCGGCTCTGATATTGACAAATTAACTGGATCAGATATCTGATGAATGACGCAGATAAAGTCTTTTATTTTTCCCTTTTAATCTTTTAATTAATATCAAACACAGAAACAGTGATTCTGTTCGCTCCATATTCTGTCTGTCTATGCTTTTACACTAAATGTTTACATGTAACTCTAACTTCTTTTTGCTCTGTGCTAATGATCAACTTGTTAATAAATAATATTTAGTAAATTTATATCTGTGTTAATTTGTTACCTTTTTAAGTGAAGCCTGATGCCTTCACTCACAGGTATACAGTTCACTCATTCATCAGTAGTATTGGATCAGTATCGGATATTGGCTGATACACTCAGCCCAGGTATCAATATCAGATTGGATCAGAAAAAAATGGATCGGTGCATCTCTATGAATAACTATCACAACGTCGTGATCTTCAGGGAATTCATATGGAGATAAGAAATATTTGAGTCAGCTTTAATCATTTTTACTCCAAATCTGACAGATTTTGTTTCTCTCTCCTGTTATTGTGCCGAGGACCCGGAGTCTGAACCACAGAAGCATTTTTGTTGTTGTATTTTTATCTGGTCTCCTCATGTCACTTTTTTCCTCCCTTTGGACATCACACAGTTAAAAAAAACTTGAATTTGTATTTTCCTGTTTTGATGACAAGGACTTTTTCTTGTGTAGATGATTTCAGGTAAAAATGACCCGATAGCGATAGTGATGGTGTTACTAATTTGAGTGTTTCTCGGGTTCATCTTCTTCTGTTTGGTCTCTGGTCTTATATAAATCTTGGTTTTTGTGTGTCCTGTCTCCATTTCTTCGTCTCTCCTCCTCCTCCTCCTCTTTTCTCTCTCTCTCTCTCGCTCGGCTGTAACTCAAAGACGCTGAGGTTTCTTCCTGTGTGGGAGTTTTCCTGTTTGTGTTGGAGCAGAGAAAATCAAAGTTAGTGATCAGGGTGTTTGTAATACAGCAGAGAGTAAACTGAGTCACCGCTCAGACACAGACAGGGAGGCTGAATAATAAAGACATGATACTGATCATTGATAAAGTCTCTGATGGTCATTATTAAAAGTGTTTTTACTGATCAGACAGAGAAAAAGATCAAACTCTGACTCAGTTTAAAACCTCAGCCTCTCATTAGTGGAAGTTTCTCTCTTTATTTTTAGAAAACTGACTTTAAACTCGTCTGTATTCATCATGACTACAATCATCAATCATGTAAATCCTTTCCATGCAGGTGGACTGTAATCCTCACCCTCCTCACCCTCCTCACCCTCCTCACCCCCGCAGAGCTCCTGTTGTTGTTGACTTTCTCTTTTTTCTGTCGTTTTTTGCCCAGCAACTTTTCCGGGTGACTCACAGGACGCCGTTACGCATGACACGGAGCCACGGAGGACCGATCACGGCGTGGGGAGGAGCCGAAGGGGGGAGGAGGGGGTCGTATAAAGGTGTTTCTGCTCCTGCGGGGGGAGGAGGAGGACAAGATGCGGTGCACAGGGAGGACCATGCGGGGCTGCAGGCTGCTCGGAGCGGCGCTCCTCTGCGCGCTGCTGCTGCTATCACGATCCACGGGAGCGCAGAACCTGGAGCTGGAGCTGGAACCCTGGTCCGAGTCTGAGGAGGAGGAGCTGAGCCCACGGGCCCTGAGGGACTTCTACCCTAAAGGACCGAACCTGACCAGCGAAAAACAGCTGGTAAGACCCGCACCTCACCTCTGGACCCGACAGAGAGACCCCACACCTGAGCTCCAAACACCATCATCATCATCATCATCATCATCAGAGAGGAAGGAGCGCTCACCAAGACAAATAAATATTATTATTATTATTATTATTATTATTATTGAATCTGGAGTGTTGGATTCATTTATAACAGACGCACAACAAACCAAACCTCATTCAGGAAAAAGAGAATTTAAGAGCTCAGCTGTCCTCGAACTTTACAGATCAGGTAGAGACTTTAATTTTTTAGAGCTGAAATGTTTATTTCATTTACTACTAAAAACCAAAACAATCAAAAAGTCCTTAAAATTTAACAAATATATTTATTGATCTCTTTAGATGTTTTTGGAAACTGATAAACTAAAAGAGGACATTTTTATCATTGATCAGACTGTATTCAGGTGTTTTTTTAGTAATTTGTTGACCATATTGATTTGATAGAAGTATTTAAAAGTATGTATCAAATATCATACAAAAGGCATTAAAGGATTAAACTTCACCTTTAGACGTTATTAATAACACAACGATCACACACTGACGAGTTACGATCCCAACATGAAACTGACAAATGTTTCTTCATCCTCATGATCTGACAGTTTTATGGTTTAAGTCATTATCAATATTATTATTATTGTAACTATTATTATTATGAGAGAGATGATGCGCTTATTAAATCAACTACATGAATCTCTCTCCCTCTCTCTCTGTCTGTCTCTCTCTCTCTCTCTATCAGCTTGGAGCTCTGCAGGAGGTTCTGGAGAAGCTGCAGGCGAAGAAGATCCCCTCGTGGGAGAAGAAGTTTGGACAGGTCCCCACGGTGAGAGAGACACAGATGGTCCACCATCACAGAGACACACTCAGCTGGTCTTACTGGTTTTTAACTCTGTATCTCCCCTCACCCCACCCTCTCTCTCTCTCTCTCTCTCTCTCTCTCTCTCTCTCAGTGCGACGTGGGTGAGCAGTGTGCTGTCAGGAAAGGCGCTCGTATCGGGAAGATGTGTGACTGTCCACGAGGAGCTTTCTGCAACTTCTTCCTGCTGAAGTGCTTATGAGCACACACACACACACACACGCACACACACACACACGGACTGACCCTCTCTGTATATACTGACCATCAGGTGTTAGAGCTCTACGGAGCGTGCTCAGTGACGCCCTCACTGTCTGTCTGAGTGAAACTGTGAAACTGTGTGATAGTTTTTGTTTCTCATGATGTCGACGTGTGATCAGACGATGGAAATATGAACAGAACAGCTCTCATTATTACACCCATAGACTGTATATACAAGTATATATAGTATATATAATATGTATATATCGTATATACAGTCTATGATTCCACCTCAGAGCGGACATATCATTGATCCATGTATATGTAAAACTACAGACTGGATATTAAATATAAAATTACAATCCCTGACTGTATATGGAAATAACTTACAATAATATTCACTATATGCAGCAAATATTCTCTTTGTTGAAGTATTCAAACCTCAGAGTGTGTATCAGATGTTGGTTCAGGACTGTATACTGAATATTTGAGTATCTCTGTGTCTGTGTGTGAATCCATTAACTGTAAATATGTCATGTTGTTTTGGTTTATAGTCTGTATCTTCAGATCTGTTCATCTTCCAGTCAGTGTCGTTCTCAGGTGTTTGTGTGTCATTAATAATCAGATTTATGATGGTCTAAATGTGAAGAATAAAGTGGATCATGTTGTTTTGTAAAGCAGTGGACTGACTCGTGTTTTCTCCTACTCTGATATTAGACATATCTAAATAAACTGTGTTGTGTCGCTCATGTATTTAAGTAGATAAAGACTCTGTTGGAGATTTCTGCCTCAGTAGATATGAAAATAAGATATAAAAACAATAACACTGTTCAAACAGAAAAACGACTCCAGAGATTAAATCTGATTCTGAATCAGACGGTCTGATGAACAGGAGAGTGTTTCACATGTTTACGCAGAAGTTTGTTTCCAAAGTTCAGAGAAAAGATTTAATTCAACCGTCAAATTCAGTCGATCCTAACGGGATTATACACAGCTTTAGCCCAGGTGTTCAGGTGTGTGTGTGTGTGTGTGTTCCCTCCCTCAGTCTAACCCCTGCTTGTTTGTTTGTTAGTTTCTGGTTTGATATTCTGTGTAATCCTGCAGTCAGCGCTGTTTATCTGCAGGTATCAGCTGTGACACAAACACACCTGCAGTGATGCTGATTCCTGATCTGACAATTAAAGGGATATTCCAGCATAAAATTAATTTAGGGTCAAACTCACCATAACACCGAGTTAGACCCCCCCTCCAGAGATGAATGTTGTCGACCGCTTGCTTCTCTAGTTATACCAACTTTAGTAACGACCGCAGGATAGAAATACAGAGAGACACGCCCCCAACCAAAACGCCACTCTATAGCCACAAATAATGCTCAGAACAGCACCTAACTTCATCAACAGGACATATAGGGTCACAGATATAGTACTAGACACCAAACATCTTTTTAACTTTGACTCATTTCTTTAGCAAAGAGACTAAACACAACTCACCTACTCTCTTCCAGCAGACGCTTGTTTGTAGTGAGACCTCAGGCCAGTCCATTACGGACTACAGCGGGGTGACGCAGCTCAAGGAAGAACATTTATGATCATTTCTTTATCATTTCTTTGAAGTAATAATCACCATATTAATCATTTTACAGACGCGGTAGTTCTTCTGTCTTAGCGTCTCGGTCTGATTGTATTTCCATGAAGAAATGATCATAAATGTTCTTCCTTGAGCTGCGGCACCCCGCTGTAGTCCGTAATGGACTGGCCTGAGGTCTCTCTACAAACAAGCGTCTGCTGGAAGAGAGTAGGTGAGTTGTGTTTCGTCTCTTTGCTAAAGAAATGAGTCAAAGTTAAAAAGATGTTTGGTGTCTAGTACTATGTCTGTGACCCTATATGTCCTGTTGATGAAGTTAGGTGCTGTTCTGAGCATTATTTGTGGGGGTCTAACTCGGTGTTACGGTGCGTTTGACCCTAAATTAATTTTACTCCAGAATATCCCTTTAAGTGTGAAAGATTCGGGGTCAGCGTTATTCTGAAGTTCATTATAAATTTATCTGTGTTTCATTTTCATTTGATCTCTTTCGATGGTTCGGAGCCAAACTGACCAAACAGATGTGCTTAAACTCCCAGATAGACGCTGCTGCCCCCTAGTGGTGATGCTGTAAACCCATATATTTAAACTCAGGTAAGATAGTGAAATCTCCTGAGACTGAAAAATCACAGAGCTGCCATAAATAATTTCATATCAGGTCTTTAATAAAGCTCAGATATTTTAAATTTAAGGTTTTCATAACAGTCAGAGCTAAAATATTTGGTTTGATTAATATAATCTGAAATAGGTGGGAGAAGGATGAAGATGAAGATGATGAAGATGGTGATGTTGATGTGTGTTTAAGACAAACACGCATCATTAAGAGTGAGTCTGTTCTGAGTTAATTAAACCTGATCTGAGGTCAGACTGAGAGACGTCCAAACATCAGAGTTCATCCGCCTGAGGAAGAGGCGGGGGAGGAAGACCTGCTGCTGACACACACACACACACACACACACAGGCCCAGAGTGTGTGTGTGTGTTCTAATGAGGACGTGTCAGAGTTCAGCTGACTGATGATAACGAGACGTTTCGACATCGTCATTAAAGTTCTTATTGTTCGATGTCGTCGTCGGGTCACATGACCTGAGAGTCTTTAATAATCGTCCTCACTAAAGCAGCAGCTGGAATAAAACGGCAGCAGGAAACTTTATTCAAATACTCTTTATTTATAAATGTATAGAAACAGCAGCGAACAGACACAGCCTCACACTAACACTGTTCACACTGAGGTTATTAAGAAAAGAACTGATTTATGAACCTGAACATGTTCAGTGACGCTGAATCTGAGGAATCTGAGGATCAGTCCGTTCAGTCAGGAAACATGAAACAGGTTTTTATCAAACGTGAACTGAAAGCCTGAACTCCAAAATCAGCTTTTTCAACATGTGAACCCGAGTCTGAAGCTCCAGTCTGCTCTGTGTTAAATATCTGTATCTGCAGTTCCTGTTAAATAACACGGAGACGTCATGTATGTTCATCTTCACACACATATAAACTCTGGGATTCAGAAAAATAAGTTCTACACACCTGCTGAATGAAGGTCACACCTGAGACATCCATCATGTGACACACTGTCTCACCTTTGTTAATGAAAAACAAGCAGCTCATACTTTGTCCAGGTGACTCGAGGTTTCCATAGAAACGCAGACGTGAGAGTGCGAATCAAACTGAAGCAGACGGTGAATTTAAAGAGTCTGAGTGACGGAAAGACAGACTCTGCTACCAAAGCCTCCAACAGGACGAAACATGCTTTTATTTTGACGGGACAGATCAGCACTTCCTTAGAGTAACATCAGAAACTGGAACAGAGAAGATGAAGTTCGATTTCAGCTCTTAGATATAAACGGTTTTTAAAGAACTTTGACCTCAGAGAGTCGAACTTTTTCAAAACGTCAAATAAAAACCATCGAGAAACAGAAGAAGAGCCGAGAGGAACAGAGTGAGTCCAACTTCATCAAACCGTCTGATCAGAACAACGAGAATAAAGTATCAAATAACAAAGTCAGAGAAACCTCGCTCTGCTGACAGCTGAGAGGGAGGCGGAGCCGTTTGAGACACCTGGTCAGAGGTCAGGGGTCAGAGCGTCAGGTCTTGGTCAGAGGGTCACAGATCTTTTCTTCAGCCGGACGTCGTCGTCAGTCTGAAACTGAGGGGGTGGGTCTATGAAAGAGGGCGTGGTCTCTATGAAAGAGGGCGGTCCCTACGAGGGGGGGTCCTCCTGCTCCTGGAAAGGGTAGCTGAGGGCGGGGGGCAGGGCCTGGCTGCGGGGCTGTTCGTCCAGCAGGACCAGGTCTTCCACCTCCCGTCCTTTGTACCGCCGTCTGCAGATCTTCACTGTCACCTTCCTGCCCTGAAACACTTTCAGCGCCTCTTTGGACGCCATGTTCTTGGCGGCGGCCTCGTCCCGCCCGTAACCCGTCCCCATGTAGACGGTCTGACAGCGGATCTCGCAAACGTGTCCCTCCTTCTGAGCACGCCCGGCGGGCAGGCCGGTGATGTCCTTCAGAGGGACGAACACGCAGGTGAGCGTCTGTTTGCAGGACTCCACGCAGCTCCTCAGGATCTCACAGTGGTCCAAGTTCGGCCCGAAGCCCCCCGCCGACACCAGCTTCCACGCCACCGCCTTATACAGGCGGTTGAAGAAGGGCTGGTGCTCTGCCGGTGCCTGAGGGAGGGGCCCTGATTTCTGGTTGACAGGACACGGGGCGCCACGCCCTGAACCTCGACTGTCAGGCTCGTTAGACGCACATTTAGCCCTCTTTACTGAAGCGTCAGTGTCGCCCTCTGCAGGAGGAAATGCAGACACACAGAGGTTGAGTGAGGAGGCGGACTCAGGCGAGTCTGTGTTTGATGAACATGATTGGTCGTTATCCTGATAAAACTTTAGTTAGATTAGCTGCTCTGTTTAAACGAGGATCAGCGTTCATTCCTAAACTCTGGGATCATTTCAAACTTCTGCTGAGACTCCATGATATCATAAAGACTGTAATAGCATCTGTTACCAGAGGGGGCGCTCCTCTTTCCTCTGAGAGACAGCTCTTTAGTGGTTTGATGCTGTGGAGCGTCACGGACTTCGATCCCTTCCCCCATCTCTCTGATCTTCTCCATCACAGCCTGAGGGTAACTGAGGAGGAGGAGCAGAGACCACAAGTCTTCATCACCACCGACGGAGGTTAGAAATAAAAACAGGGATGTAACGACGCACCATCAGACGGTTACAAATCGATACAAATGTGTGACGACTCAAAATCAGCTGAAATGGAAGATGATCCGCAGCGTCCTTTCTAAACAGCGGACGGCGCGACGTGAGTCGGCGTCGTGTGTCACTGATTCAGACAGAGCGAGAGACATGACGGCGGCCGCAGATGATTTTGAAATGGAGGATTCACAGATCAGTCTGGGTTTGAATGAATGTCATCCCGAACAGCAGCCAGCGGTGGCAGCCGCGCTCCTTAGCGCAGACTTCTGGTGAAATCGACTCACAGTCTAACCCTCTAATCTCCACCTTCATCCTGATCGTCTCCTAAAAGGTCGTATCCTCCGATCGTAGCTGATCGTAACCATTCAAGTTAACGTGTCAATTTACACCGACTTCTTTCCGTTCCTCTGCGGATCGCCGGACTCCTCAGCTGATCACAAGAGTTCTATTTTTTCCGGACGCCGGAGCATGGCGGATAAATTCAGCACAGATTAACCCGTGCTGGAAAGGAAGTCGGGCACAGACACAAAATAAAACATCCGGCTTCTTTTCAAAATAAAACACGAACGACGAACAAGTGAAAGGTTTTTAGACGTCATTTCACCCCGATGACACCATGGATGAGGAGATGCTGATTCTAGAAGTCTAGAAGTAGATTTCCTCCTCTGGAAGGACACAATCTACTGCTTATATGTCTATGTGTCTGTCTTTAGAGAGACGACTCGTTATCATGAGATTGAACGTGAATCTGAGGGTTCTTGTGAGTTCTCGTGATTCGAAAATCGCCACCGTTATGACTCAGAGCCGTTCCGGATGCGGTGGAAATTCGGGGTCGTGATGCTGAGGACATTGTAAGCATTCTTACCGTGGATTCACACCAAGCGCGGATAAAATGACTTACTGGCTTGATTGGCGTGTATCTAGATGATCAAATCAAAAGTATTTACTCACTTTATTCACTGAATGAATCGCTCTATCTATTTGTTTTAAAGTTACACCCTAACCTTAGAAATGTTCTTTTTTTAGTTCCTGATTAATAATTAAAGGAATCTTCTTCAGTCATCATTCGTCGCACTAATTCGGTGAAAAAGAATCGTGAGAAAATCGTATCGTCAACCCAGACTCATGAATCCTACCGAATCAGGAGTCGGGTGTATCGTTACATTACATTGTCATCGACCATCAGCTGGTCTTACCTGCAGCCCAGGAACACGTGATTGGCCCACGCCATGGACAGAGACAGGAGGCGGTCCAGGTGAGGGCTCACCTGTCCGGGCTGCACGGCAGGAAACGCCTCCATGTTCCTGAGGATGAACTCTCTGCGCGCTGACCACGCCTTCCCCGTCTCACAGTAACCACGCAGAGACTCCACCCACTGAGCCACATGAGGGTTCTGAACCAGGTACTCTGACACCTGGTCTTGACCACGCCCCTCCTCCGACATACCTGTACACACACACACACACACACACACACACACACACAGACTGTAAGGACAGGTCAATGAAACACACACACACAAACATCCCTAACCTCTGCAGAGACACACTGAGAACACTAACACACACGTATACTTAAAGCCACAGTGTGTCTCAGATAACTAACACACACACACGCACACACACACACACAAACACACACCTGTCATTCCCCGGAAATACAGACACCTCCACCTGAGCTCGTGCCCCACTTTACCTGTTAGTTTCCTCCGTCAGTCCTCATCCAGCTGATGATGAAGATGATGACGATGATGCTAAGCTAACCTGTTAACAACACCACAGAGTGGAGGAGCTAACGCTAATCGAGCTTACGGCTAACAGATAGACTGTAGTTCATTAGCAGCGCGGCTAACGGTGAGCTAACGTTTTCTTCAGGGTCATAAAGTTAGAAAAATACTGAGTCTGAGAGGAGGACTTTATTAAACTGAAGCTAACACACACACACACCGACTTCTCCCTCTGATACAACAGCACACACCGATGACGACATACCGGCGACACTGCCTTTGGCGGGAAGAACTACATTACCCAGACGCACAGCTGAGAGATCACTTTCTCGTCGTTTTATCGACATATCACAGGGAGCGTATTTCAGCGGCACCGGAATGGAATCACATCAAAAATGAGAATCTATCAAACTTTAAATGTTGTTTGAATCATATAAGGGAGACATGTACGCCTGAGGCACACATGACGCAGAAAACTCAAGCCCCCACGATGCTTTGCGTAGTGACGTCTCCAGCCCGCGACAGCTGTGGCGGCAGTTTGTGGTGATGGCTGACTGAAAGGTTTTCTGCAGTGTTTACAGGTAAACTGTCCTACAGGTGAGTCAAGATGATCCACGAGCTGCTGCTGGCGCTGAGCGGATACCCGGGAACCATCTTCACCTGGAACAAACGGACAGGGCTGCAGGTAACCCGGAAAATGAAGAGTCAACACCGAGCTAACGGGGCTAAGACAAGAGGGCAGATATGAACTAAAACAAGACTTTACATGTTTAAATAATAAAACTCTAGGATTCTGTTAAAAACACAGAATAAAGGGGTTGATTTGGTTCCTGTGAGGGTGCTGGAATTATTTTAGTCAACATAAGGGACTGATTTCAGGTCAGCTGGTTATATTTTAAAGGTAATATAGTCATAACAAAAACAATAAAATCAGATTTCATATAATCTCTTTATCAGAGACTCTCTAAGCGATTTACATCGGATACATCATTCACTCACTCACACCCCGGTGCTGGGAAACTCACTTTGTTCTAGGGCTGGGCGATAAAACGATAACAATATATATCAAAAATTAATTCCCCTCAATATCAATACAGAACATGATCAATATGCTTTTCGATAGTCGTCATTCTGCCATGTTTTGGTCGACTATACGAACAGCCAATGAAAAGGGGAGTTTCTCCGGGTCTGAACCAATCATGTTCTGAATTAGAACCAAGTGTCAAACAACTGGAAAGTCGTAGCAGAGAGCAGCTCCACCCAACCATAGCACTTAAACAGGTGAAGCCGACAGCACAGAACCCACCTGCCTTCTCTCCACCTGTGACTCTGTGTCTCAGTGCAGCTGTTAAAGGACTGGAGCGTCAGTTTAAGGACAGGAAATAGACAGAATAAACTGTTTTGTAAAAAAATAAAATCACATTATTCATCTCTCAGGTCCCTCAGGATAAAGTCTCTCTGGATACGTTCTCTTAAGATAATGCCTCTCAGGAGAACGTCTCTTGGTGTAAGGTCTTCTTTCAGAGACACTCAGCATCTCCTGACGCCCCTGTTTGTCCCTCAGGGTAACTTCTCTGAGGATAATGTCTTCTATCAGACAGACACTCAGAGCATCTCTAACCTTTGACCCCTCTGTCTGTCCCTCAGGTGTCCCAGGACCTGCCGTTCCTTCATCCCAGTGAGACCAGTGTCCTCGGCCGGCTGTCCAAACTGGGAACAGACTACATCCGCTTCACTGAGTTTATTGAGCAGCACACAGGGCACGTCCATCCTCAGGTGAGTTAGTTTACCTGCTGACCCGACATGGATGAAGAAGGGGAGATGTTTGATCCTGAGTTCACCTCTTCTTCATGTTTATATCTGTGTGTGATCTATGTCCTGTATGTCTGTGCAGTGTTGTTCTCTGAGGCTGTCCCTCTCTGTGTGACTGAGTCTCTGAAGTTCATTTGCTGTTTTTGTTGTTGTTTTTGTGTATTTACATGTTGTTGTTTATTTACAAATTGTTGTTGTTTTTGATGTCGTTGATGTACATGTTGTTTTTGTTGATGTTGTTGTTTATTTTCATGTTTTTGTTGTTGTGTTTTTACATGTTTTTGTTGTCATTTACATGTTTGTTATTGTTGTTATTAACATGTATTTAATTTTTTCGTTGTTTATTTACATGTTTTTGTTTTTGTTTATTTACATGTTGTTTTTGTTGTTGATGTTGTTCTTTATTTACATGTTTTGTTGTTTGTTTTTGTTGTGTATTTACATGTTTCTGTTGCTCATTTACATGTTGTTTTTTTACACACTGTTGTTTTTGTTGTTGTATATTTACATGTTGTTTACTTACATGTTGTTGTTTTTTTACACACTGTTGTTTTTGTTGTTGTATATTTACATGTTGTTTACTTACATGTTGTTGTTGTTTTTGTTTTTTATTAACACCTTGTTGTTTTTGTTGTTGTGTATTTACATGTTGTTTACTTACATGTTGTTTTTGTTTTTTATGAACACCTTGTTGTTTTTGTTGTTGTATATTTACATGTTGTTTACTTACATGTTGTTGTTGTTGTTTTTTTACACACTGTTGTTTTTGTTGTTGTATATTTACATGTTGTTTACTTACATGTTGTTGTTGTTTTTGTTTTTTATTAACACCTTGTTGTTTTTGTTGTTGTGTATTTACATGTTGTTTACTTACATGTTGTTTTTTTGTTTTTTATTAACACCTTGTTGTTTTTGTTGTTGTATATTTACATGTTGTTGTTTTTTTACACACTGTTGTTTTTGTTGTTGTATATTTACATGTTGTTTACTTACATGTTGTTGTTGTTTTTGTTTTTTATTAACACCTTGTTGTTTTTGTTGTTGTATATTCACATGTTGTTTACTTACATGTTGTTGTTTTTGTTTTTTATTAACACCTTGTTGTTTTTGTTGTTGTATATTTACATGTTGTTTACTTACATGTTGTTGTTGTTTTTGTTTTTTATTAACACCTTGTTGTTTTTGTTGTTGTGTATTTACATGTTGTTTACTTACATGTTGTTGTTGTTTTTGTTTTTTATTAACACCTTGTCGTTTTTGTTGTTTTCGTCGTAGGAGCATCACTCTAACCAAGCGGGTCAGACGGGACTCCATGGGATCTACCTGAGAGCTTTTTGCACAGGTCTGGACTCGGTGCTGCAGCCCTACAGGCAGGCTCTGCTCGACCTGGAACAGGAGGTGAGGACACAAACACACACAATACACAAAAAAATACACACACAAACAACCGAACAAGGCGATCATGTGACAGGATGCTCCTTCTCTCCGTGTGTGTGTTTGTGTTTCAGTTCCTGGGGGATCCACACCTGACCATCTCTCATGTGAACTACAAACTGGACCAGGTAAACACACCTGAACACAGATCATTGGGAGGGAGGATTTAAACTCTGAATGGGTTAAATTCAACTGTGTGTGTGTGTGTGTGTGTGTGTGTGTGTGTGTGTCTCCAGTTCCAGCTGCTGTTTCCCTCTGTTATGGTCGTGGTGGAGACGATTAAATCTCAAAAGGTTCCTCCTCTCACAAACATCTACAGTTACCTTCATTTTTGACAACACTTAGAAGAACCTCAGGACCTCATATGTCGATCATGATGATCGTCATGATCCTTGATCTTGTTGTTGTTGTTGTTGTTGTAGATCCATGGCTGTCAGATCCTGGAGACGGTCTACAAACACAGTTGTGGCGGTCTTCCTCCCGTCCGTTTGGCGTTGGAAAAGTGAGTCAGATCCTCTCAGCAGGACTCAGGGCGGCGTTATCAGCATTACTTCTGTGATCATGATGATAATGATGAAAATGATAATGATGATGATAATAATGAGGATAATGATAATGATGTAAATGATAAAAATGATTAAATTAATGATAATGGTGGTAATTATAATGATGATGATGAAAATGATGACAATGATGATAATGATAGAAATGATGATTATAATAATGATAATGGTGGTTAAGATGGTAATGATGATAATGATAATAATGATGAAAAATAATAATGATGACTATGATGATAATAATTATGATGATGATAATGATAATAATGATAATGATAAAAATGATAATGATGTAAATGATAAAAATGATTAAATTAATGATAATGGTGGTAATTATAATGATGATGATGAAAATGATAATTATAATTATGATAATGGTGGTTAAGATGGTAATGATGATAATGATAATGATGATGAAAAATAATAATGATGATAATAATTATGATGATGATGATAAAAATGATAATGATTATAATGATGATGATAATAATGATAATGATGTAAATGATAAAAATTATTAAATTAATGATAATGGTGGTAATTATAATGATGATGATGAAAATGATGACAATGATGATAATGATAGAAATGATGATTATAATAATGATAATGGTGGTTAAGATGGTAATGATGATAATGATAATAATGATGAAAAATAATAATGATGACTATGATGATAATAATTATGATGATGATAATGATAAAGATGATTATGATGATAATGACAACACTGCTCTCCTCTCTCCTCCTGGATCCCGATCCTGTGAGGTCCGGATCAGTCCAGTCCTCCTGCCGTCAGTCATAACCTCTGTGTCTGTTCCGTTCAGGATCCTGGCGGTGTGTCACGGCGTGATGTACAAGCAGCTGGCGGCGTGGATGCTCCACGGTCTGCTGCTGGATCAGAGCGAGGAGTTCTTCATAAAGCAGGGTCCGAGTGCAGGAGGAGCTGCCACAAACCAGGAGGAGGAGGAGGAGGACCTGGGTCTGGGGGGACTGAGCGGGAAACAGCTGAGAGAGCTGCAGGACCTGGTGAGGACCACACACACACACACACACAGATCCACAGACCAGGACCGTGGTCTGACCCTGATCTCCTGTCTCTGTCTCTCTGTGTCTCAGAGGCTGATGGAGGAGGAGAACATGCTCGCTCCGTCTCTGCAGCAGTTCTCGCTGCGCTCTGAGATGTTACCCTCCTACATCCCCGTCAGAGTGGCCGAGAAGATCCTGTTCGTGGGAGAGTCCGTCCAGATGTTTGAGAACCACAACCACAGCCCGTCCAGAGCCGGTACTCAGCCCTGGGTCGAACCTCTGACCCCTGACGTCTTTACCTGACAACCATGAACATGTGGTGTTGATGGTCTGTGTGTGTGTGTGTGTGTGTGTGTGTGTGTGTGTGTGTGTGTGTGTGTGTGTGTGTGTGTGTGTGTGTCGCAGCTTCGATCCTGAAGCACCAGGAGGACACGTTTGCCTCAGAGCTGCACAGACTGAAGCAGCAGCCGCAGTTCAGCCTGGTGGACTTTGAGAACCTGATCGACCGGATCAGGAGCACCGTGGCCGAGGTGAGCTCACACACCTGCTTTACCTGTACGTCACATTTTAAGGCTCGTAGATATCTATAAGAAAGGCTAGATGACTCTATGAGGCGGGGTCACTGGCGTCCATCTTACTCCAGTATACCATTCTTGTACGCTCTCTGGTCGCCGACGGGAGGTGAGTAATCTACATGATCAAAGATCCTCTTAACTCGCTGAAATCTTGACAGATTTATAAACGGTTTAGTTTGTTACAGACCTTAATAACGAGGCTGTGAGTCGGGATGCTTGGACAAATTAAAACGGCAGATTTACTTTGAGAAAAAAAAAAGACTTAATCATAAAGAACAGTTGTTTCATGGCTATAAGGGTTAAGGGTGTGTAGGCCTATATCTATTGCTCTATCTATCTGTTTAATGTTTATTTATAAAAATCCATGGTTAAAATTATTCTTGAGTATGCAGGAACATAACTAAAACTCTGAGGTTTGTTACAAAACAAACTGTTTGAAAATCCGTTTAAAATTAATCAATCTATGGTTATTTAAATGTTACATGAACCGTAGGCTGGAATGTAAGGAGAGGGCGAGCTGCCCTTAGCAAAATGGCCACCATGCGTGGACATTGGTCTCTATTGGCTAACAGCGTGTGTAGGACATCTAGTGTTTATATATATCTATGTTAAGGGTAAGTTAACAGACTAACCTCTGTCTGTGTGTGTCCGTGTCCTGCAGCACCTGTGGACTCTCATGGTGGAGGAGTCCGACCTGCTGGAGCAGCTGAAGGTGAGTCTGATCACATGACTGATTGACGGGTCGGTCACGTGAAGGAAATAATCTCAGGTTATGACCTCACCTGACCACTGTAATCTCATTGGACAGATCATCAAAGACTTCTACCTGCTGGGCAGAGGAGAGCTCTACCAGGTGTTCATCGACCTGGCCCAGCACATGCTGAAGACTCCGCCCACAGCTGTCACTGAACACGGTATTGAGTCACACCTGAGTGTCTTTATCTGTGACGTGCTCACCTGTGCGCTCTAACCTCTAAGTATTTCCTGTCAGATGTGAACGTGGCGTTCCAGCAGGCGGCCCATAAGGTTCTCCTGGACGACGATAACCTGCTGCCTCTGCTGCACCTGACCGTGGACTATCAGGGCAAAGACGCCAAAGGTAGACTCACCCGAGCTCACCTGAGAACATCTGTAGACTGTGATGACCTCAGCTCACAGGTGTGTTTCTGTTTCAGAGTCTGTGGGTCCTAGAGACGGAGCCACGCCCCCCCAGGACACCTCCCCTCGTGAGGCTCCTCCCACTGGGTGGGCAGCTCTGGGTCTCACCTATAAGGTCCAGTGGCCTCTGCACATCCTGTTCACCCCGGCGGTGCTGGAGAAGTAAATACCCTCCAACTACACCTGTCTGTGACACACCTGTGCTGACTGTGTTAGAATGTACCTTACACTCCTCCACCTCCTCCTCCTCCTCCTCCTCCTCAGGTATAATGTGGTCTTCAGGTACCTGCTGAGTGTGCGAAGGGTCCAGTCTCAGCTGCAGACCTGTTGGGCTCTCCAGATGCAGAGGAAACACCTCAAGTCCAGCCAGACCGACGCCATCAAGTGGAGGCTCCGCAACCACATGGCCTTCCTCATCGACAACCTGCAGTACTACCTACAGGTGAGACACACACCTGAGACATTAGCTACAGGTGAGACACACACCTGAGACAGTACCTGCAGGTGAGACACACACCTGAGACACTACCTACAGGTGAGACACACACCTGAGACACTACCTGCAGGTGAGACACACACCTGAGACACTAGCTACAGGTGAGACACACACCTGAGACACTACCTACAGGTGAGACACACACCTGAGACACTACCTGCAGGTGAGACACACACCTGAGACATTAGCTACAGGTGAGACACACACCTGAGACATTAGCTACAGGTGAGACACACACCTGAGACACTACCTACAGGTGAGACACACACCTGAGACATTAGCTACCTACAGGTGAGACACACACCTGAGACATTAGCTACAGGTGAGACACACACCTGAGACACTACCTGCAGGTGAGACACACACCTGAGACACTACCTACAGGTGAGACACACACCTGAGACACTACCTGCAGGTGAGACACACACCTGAGACACTACCTACAGGTGAGACACACACCTGAGACATTAGCTACAGGTGAGACACACACCTGAGACACTACCTACAGGTGAGACACACACCTGAGACACTACCTACAGGTGAGACACACACCTGAGACATTAGCTACAGGTGAGACACACACCTGAGACACTACCTACAGGTGAGACACACACCTGAGACATTAGCTACAGGTGAGACACACACCTGAGACACTACCTACAGGTGAGACACACACCTGAGACACTACCTACAGGTGAGACACACACCTGAGACATTAGCTACAGGTGAGACACACACCTGAGACATTAGCTACAGGTGAGACACACACCTGAGACACTACCTACAGGTGAGACACACACCTGAGACACTACCTGCAGGTGAGACACACACCTGAGACACTACCTACAGGTGAGACACACACCTGAGACACTACCTACAGGTGAGACACACACCTGAGACACTACCTACAGGTGAGACACTACCTACAGGTGAGACACACACCTGAGACACTACCTACAGGTGAGACACAGACCTGAGACACTACCTACAGGTGAGACACACACCTGAGACATTACCTGCAGGTGAGACACACACCTGAGACATTAGCTACAGGTGAGACACACACCTGAGACACTACCTGCAGGTGAGACACACACCTGAGACACTACCTACAGGTGAGACACACACCTGAGACATTAGCTACAGGTGAGACACACACCTGAGACATTAGCTACAGGTGAGACACACACCTGAGACACTACCTACAGGTGAGACAGACACCTGAGACACTACCTGCAGGTGAGACACACACCTGAGACACTACCTACAGGTGAGACACACACCTGAGACATTAGCTACAGGTGAGACACACACCTGAGACACTACCTGCAGGTGAGACACACACCTGAGACACTACCTGCAGGTGAGACACACACCTGAGACACTACCTACAGGTGAGACACACACCTGAGACACTACCTACAGGTGAGACAGACACCTGAGACACTACCTGCAGGTGAGACACACACCTGAGACACTACCTACAGGTGAGACACACACCTGAGACACTACCTACAGGTGAGACACACACCTGAGACACTACCTGCAGGTGAGACACACACCTGAGACATTAGCTACAGGTGAGACACACACCTGAGACACTACCTGCAGGTGAGACACACACCTGAGACACTACCTACAGGTGAGACACACACCTGAGACACTACCTACAGGTGAGACACACACCTGGGACATTAGCTACAGGTGAGACACACACCTGAGACACTACCTGCAGGTGAGACACACACCTGAGACACTACCTGCAGGTGAGACACACACCTGAGACACTACCTGCAGGTGAGACACACACCTGAGACACTACCTGCAGGTGAGACACACACCTGACCTTCAGCCGTGGCCAAAAGTTTTGAGGATGACACAAATCTGAATTTTCTGCTGCTTCAGTGTTTTTTTTCGATCTCGTTCTCAGACGTTTCTGTTTTAAAGTTTAATTATAAACATTTCTTAAGTGTCAATTTGTAAGTTTTTATTTATCCGCCAAGTCTTGAGGATTGACCGTTAAATGTCTCTGGGATTAAAATCTGGGGAGGTTCCTGACCATAGACCCCCGATCCTCTTAGTTCTCCCTTTCTCCTCCATCGTTTTTCGTCACCAAACTGACCTTCGATGGTTGGAGAAGTCGCTCTCTGAGGATGTTTTGGTTCTTTATTCATGACTGTTTTTGTGAATCCACTCCCCTGACTGAGAAGAAACCCCACACATGAATAATCTCAGGATGCTTTACTGCTGTCCTGACGCAGGGCTGATGGTGGCGCTCACCTTTTCTTCTCCGAACAAACGAAAAAGGATTCATCAGAGAAAAAGAGTTTCCCTCAGTCCTCAGCTGTCCAGTCCCTGAACTTTCACAGATTATCCGTCTGTCTCTGATGGTTTTTTATGGCGTCTTTTCTGTCCTTCTTGACACCAGGTCTTCCTCCAAAAGTCTTCTCCTCACTGTACGTACAGATTCACTCACAGCTGAGCTCTGCACTGGTGGTTCCCCGATCCTGCAGCTGAATCCTGGAACTTGATGGCCTTTCTCAGGCGTCCTGAAGTCTTCCTCACAATAATTGAACCTCCCTTCTTGAAGTTCTTGATAATCTGATTAATGATTGTTTGAGGTGCAATCTTACAAACAGCTGTATCCTTCCCTATGAAGCCAAAGCGATAATGACTGCAGGTGTTTCCTGGTTACCAGAGGAAGAACAATGATTTGGAGCTCCACCCTCATTTTAGATCATCCACTCTGTTATCGTTACTCCGTCAGATCGATCTCCAGCCTCGTCCTCATCAAGACTCTCACCGGTGTTAACGAGAGAATCACTAAACTGATGTCAGCTGATCCTTCAATGACAGGACTGAAATGTTTTTGGGGATTAAGTTCATTTTCATGACGAAGAGGGACTTTAATCTGATCACTCCTCAGAAAACACTGAAGCAGCAGAGTTTGGGAAAATTAAGATTTATGTCATTCTCAAAATATTTGAGAATATTTACACCTGTCCTCTGTGTGTGTGTGTGTGTGTGTGCGTGTGTGTGTGTGCGTTCAGGTGGACGTGTTGGAGTCTCAGTTCTCTCAGCTCCTGCAGCAGATCAACTCCACCAGAGACTTTGAGAGCATCAGACTGGCTCATGATCACTTCCTCAGTAACCTGCTGGCTCAGTCCTTCATCCTGCTCAAACCGGTTCGTGTTCGCCGTCATCATCATCATCCTCATCATCATCGTCCTCGTCTCTCTCTGACCCTGATCAAACACAGGTCTCAGTCTCAGGTGTGTCTCGGTCTGTCCTCAGGTGTTCCACTGTCTGAATGAGATCCTGGATCTGTGTCTGTCCTTCTGCTCCCTGGTCAGTCAGAGCGTCTCCTCTCTGGACGAGAGGGGCGGGGCTCAGCTCGACATCCTGGTCAAGGTGAGGAGACGCCCTTACCTGCAGGTCTTTTTTTACTCCATCAAACCTCCTCATGAATGCTTATTTTTGTCTCTCAGGGTTTCAGGCGTCAGTCGTCTCTGCTCTTTAAAATCCTCTCGAGTGTCAGGAACCACCAGATTAACTCGGACTTGGCTCAGCTGCTCCTCAGACTGGACTACAACAAGTACTACACTCAGGCAGGAGGAACGCTGGGCAGGTACGACCACACCTGTAGAACCCCAGATTAGGATTTAACATGACAGAGTTCAATCAGGACACACTGATCTAACCTGCTGCTGATGGTTTTTGATTTTCAGTGTGTAAGAAGAACTCCAAGAGTGTGTGTGTGTGTGTGTGTGTGTGTGTGTGTGTGTGTGTGTGTGTGCGTGTGTACACCTGAACTCGTCGGACAACACGTGCTCTCACCTGATCAGCCAATCATAGCAAAGTGGAGGCGGGACCAATCATTCTAGCTGTCACTCATCTTTGTCTTCTGTATCAGTCCTGATCACAAAGACTTGAGTTACCATGGTAACATCACACCTGTATATTTCCTCGTTATTACCCTCTGATCCCAGCTGTGAGCGTTGAAGCTGACTTACCTGAGCTCACCTGCAGAGGGCGCCGGTGTTCCTGTGTATAAACTGTAAATAGACATCAGTGTGTTTGTGTGTTTGTGTGTGTAATAATAAAGAGTGAGTCTGTGCTAAAATGAAGTGTGTCGGTTTATTGTCGATAAAAACACACACAGGTGAACCAGGTACAGGTATGTACAGACTCATGCAGACGGCTGATCCACAGTCACACTATGAGGACGAGTAGTCATGGCGATACTCCGGGTTGCTATGGTAACCCTGCTTCTCCCCCCGAATGATGCTCTGGATGATCCACTCTGCCGAGACCAGCGGAACTTCCTGTGATGTCATCTGTTTCTGGATCGACGGGGGGCAGGTGTGGTCCGTCAGAACGACGTCAAACTTCCCCGAGGGGACATCTGAAAGACAGGTGTGCTCTTTAGACACAGGTGAGGTATATTCACAGGTGAGGTATGTTCTCAGGTGTGTTCTTAACATACAGGTGAGGTATATTCTCAGGTGAGGTATGTTCTCAGGTGTGTTCTTAACATACAGGTGAGGTATATTCACAGGTGAGGTATGTTCTCAGGTGAGGTATATTCACAGGTGAGGTATGTTCTCAGGTGAGGTATATTCACAGGTGAGGTATGTTCTCAGGTGTGTTCTTAACATACAGGTGAGGTATATTCACAGGTGAGGTATGTTCTCAGGTGAGGTATGTTCTCAGGTGTGTTCTTAACATACAGGTGAGGTATATTCTCAGGTGAGGTATATTCACAGGTGAGGTATGTTCTCAGGTGTGTTCTTAACATACAGGTGTGATATATTCACAGGTGAGGTATATTCTCAGGTGAGGTATATTCTCAGGTGAGGTATGTTCTCAGGTGAGGTATATTCACAGGTGAGGTATATTCACAGGTGAGGTATGTTCTCAGGTGTGTTCTTAACATACAGGTGTGGTATATTCTCAGGTGAGGTATATTCTCAGGTGAGGTATATTCACAGGTGAGGTATGTTCTCAGGTGAGGTATATTCACAGGTGAAGTATGTTCTCAGGTGAGGTATATTCTCAGGTGTGTTCTTCAGACTCAGGTAAGGTATAGTTTTACGTAAGGTATATTCTCTCAGGTGTGTGATGTACCTGCCCCGTCGTTGCTCTGACTGTGCCCGACTGTGGCTCCGCCTCCTAAACTGATGAGCTGAGTCCACAGCTCCTCGCTTTGCTCCAACGCCACCAGAACCCGCAGAGACTTGAACGGGCTGCAGCGAGGGTGCCTGAGGGGGGGAGGGGGAGAGAATGAAGAGCAGGTGAATCTGGACCGGGTCGTTTCATCATGGAGTTACATTTTGATGAGGTGACCGTCTGTGTAGGTGATCTACTTGAATATATGTCTATGACAGCACTAATCTAAGGTTCGAGAGAACACAGAGATCCAACAGGATGAACTGATACTGACGACTGAAATTCATGCAGCAACATTTCCCTGCAGTAAAGATGGTGGTTAATCTGATCCTGTTAGACAGACGGATTATTAATCCGGATTATTTCCCTTTTAAACACGACCACGTGCAGAGGGAGCAAACATCCCAAACAGCTCGTCAAAAGTAAGGTAAACCTCATCCTCACCACTCCACAATGGCGCCGCCTGGCTCCGCCCCCGCAGGCAGCAGGTAGTTCCTGTAGTTCAGCAGCTTGTTCTCTTTGCAGCAGTCTCGCACCCAGATATGAGACACACACGGCACGCCGCTCGCCACACACAGCAGGTACTTCCTGGTCCGGCAGTGCTGGTCAGCGATCAGGAGGCTCTGATAGGCTGCTTTACACTGAGGGGGCGGAGCAAAGAATTTACATGAGAAAGAACACACCTGTGGAGACAGGTTAATTCAGCACAGAGAGAAAACCAGTTCACCTGTCCATCAGTCCTGTCTAAAAACGTGCTGCTAACCTCAAATACAAGAATCATTCAACTATATTGATTATTAAAGGTGAACGAGTAAAGGTGAAAAATCTTCTAATATCAGTCAATAGTTATTAGTTATTGATGACATTTGGTAATATATCGATATCTCTGTGTTCTCTTCTGTCTGTGTCGTCAACATTTGAACATTTTTGAGCGGTCCGCTCTTTCTGACTGTAAACAAAGACGTTCTCCACCTCCTCTAACCTGATTGGTTGTGAGGCAGACGCTGCTCCCCCGTGTCGTTCACGAGCACATTTCTAATGATCGGAAGTATTTATCTGCATCATATCTGAATTTAATTGAACGATACGAGCGAGCAGGAGCGTCTGTTTGGGAGGGGTAGAGTTTACATTCAAGATTTCTAACTAACTCAGATCCTGACTACACCACCTTTAAATTTAAAGACGACTGTCAGATCCAGAATTTACCTGAAGACCTCACCTGTCCTGAAAATTAACTCGGATTTATCTTTTTGGACTGCAGTCACACAGACAGCAGATACTGACCACAGCTGAACCCACACTGACTGTTGAAAACCAAAATAAACAGACTGCAGAGAGCAGCTGTGTGTGTGTGTGTGTGTGTGTGTGTGTGTCCTCTGAGATAATAACACTGTCCTGTTATTGTCAATGCAGTAAAACACCAAACTTGGACCAGAGTTTCTCCGTCTCTTCTACCTTCACAGTTCATCACTGAACTCTATCGACATGACTAAACCTTACAGGACAGCCCTGCCGGCCTGTTTTCAGCCTGTTTCTGCAGTCCTGAGTGTGGGCGTGTCTCAGTGTGGGCGTGTCTCAGAGTGGGCGTGTCTCAGTGTGGGCGTGTCTGAGTGTGGACTAGCTGGGTGTGGACGTGTCTCGGTGTGGGCGTGTCTGAGTGTTGACGTGTCTCAGTGTGGGCGTGTCTGAGTGTGGGCGTGTCTCAGTGTGGGCGTGTCTCAATGTGGGCGTGTCTCAGTGTGGATGTATCTGAGTGTGGACGTGTCTCAGTGTGGGCGTGTCTCAGTGTGGACTAGCTGAGTGTGGGCGTGTCTCAGTGTGGATGTGTCTGAGTGTGGACGTGTCTCAGTGTGGACTAGCTGAGTGTGGACGTGTCTGAGTGTGGGCGTGTCTCAGTGTGGACGTGTCTCAGTGTGGGCGTGTCTCAGTGTGGACGTGTCTCAGTGTGGACTAGCTGAGTGTGGGCGTGTCTCAGTGTGGACATGTCTCAGTGTGGGCGTGTCTCAGCTTGGACGTGTCTCAGTGTGGACATGTCTTAGTGTGGACGTGTCTCAGTGTGGGCATGTCTTAGTGTGGACGTGTCTCAGCTTGGACGTGTCTCAGTGTGGACGTGTCTGAGTGTGGACGTGTCTCAGTGTGGACGTGTCTCAGTGTGGACGTGTCTAAGTGTGGACTAGCTGAGTGTGGGCGTGTCTCAGTGTGGATGTGTCTGAGTGTGAACATGTCTCAGTGTGGACTAGCTGAGTGTGGACGTGTCTCAGTGTGGGCGTGTCTCAGTGTGGGCGTGTCTCAGTGTGGACGTGTCTCAGTGTGGACTAGCTGAGTGTGGGCGTGTCTCAGTGTGGACATGTCTCAGTGTGGGCTTGTCTCAGCTTGGACGTGTCTCAGTGTGGACATGTCTTAGTGTGGACGTGTCTCAGTGTGGGCATGTCTTAGTGTGGACGTGTCTCAGCTTGGACGTGTCTCAGTGTGGGCGTGTCTCAGTGTGGGCGTGTCTCAGTGTGGACGTGTCTCAGTGTGGACATGTCTCAGTGTGGACGTGTCTGAGTGAGGACGTGTCTCAGTGTGAGCGTGTCTCAGTGTGGGTGTGTCTCAGTGTGGACGTGTCTCAGTGTGGACGTGTCTCGGTGTGGACATGTCTCAGTGTGGGCGTGTCTCAGTGTGGGCGTGTCTGAGTGTGGGCGTGTCTCAGTGTGGGCGTGTCTCACTTGTTCCTCGTTGAAGTCTGGCAGGATGAATCCTCCCCCCGCCTGCAGCTGAGACTCTGTGTACGCTTTATTGTAGGGTCCGGTCTGAACGATGTCTGCGGGTCATGAGAGGGTCGTTATCACATTTTATCATCATTATTATCATATCATGTTTATTAATATTGTTCTAATGTCTGAGGTCAGCAGGTCTGCTGTCTCTCTGCTCTTCCTCACCCTCCTCATCCTCGCTGGTCTGTCTGTTGGTCAGTCTGTCGTTCTCAGACGACGCCGTCAGCATGAAGGCGAAGCCAAGAAAGAGCGAGGCGTTCTGGGGCAGCGGGCCGTGAGTCTCTGTGACATCATCGCTCGAGCGGCCGGGGAGGTCAGTGCCGCTACCTGAGGTGTTACACACACCTGTCCTCTGAGCTGAGACACACACACACACACACACACACACACACACACACACACAGACAGACAGAGGTCAGTGTGAACTCGCTCAGATGTGTTTATCCAGACTGTAAACATGTTTTCTGACTCTGTGTGTGTGTGTGTGTGTGTGTGTGTGTGAACCCTCCTGTAGCGTCCTAAATTCTCAGATCTCTGCCTCAGTGTCTCCTCGTCTCTCCTCCTCCTGCTTTCTTCAGAGTAAATATTGATCAAACTCAATCATCAGGATGTTTCTGATCAACAATCAGAGTTTAAAGAAAAATCTTCCGACAGAAAATCTTTGAGTTTTCGCTGTGAAAATTCAGTCAGGTGCAGCATATGATCTCCAGGTGATTGGGATTTGGATGATGATGATGAAGAGTCTCAGAGGACAAGGAAGGGGGACATACAGAACTCTATAAAACCTGTAAAACATGTCTGGGACAGTCGACTCATAGGAAGATTATTTATTGATCGACATGATCGACGTCTTTATCTGCTGCAAGAAGAAACCTTCACCTTCTCCCTGAGACTTTGGGAGTGTTTTTGTCCCCAATCTCAAATACCTTCAACTTTGAGGAGTTTGTTTCTAAGTCTGGAGACGTAACTCTGACACGATAATCTCTGAGATCAGAATATCACCAAAAAGAAACACTATAGGTGAGTGAGAGAGTCAGTGAAGTAAATCAAGGATATTAACGGATGAAATAAAAATTTAACCTGAAGTTAAACTGTCGCTAAAAAAACAGGACATCTTTTTTTTTTTTCAGGTGACAGTAAATTCATGAACGTTTTCACACACAACCCTTCAGTAAATCAGAACCTGAGAGTTCAGGTGAGTCACTCAGTTCGTTTACAGTCTCAGTTTAATCGGACTAAGATCATAACTCGTCTTTCTCTCTGAATCAGACTTCTCTCCTCGTCCTCGTTTACATGCAGCTGAGAAATCTGAATTATTGACGTGAACGTGTCCTCCTCCCCAACACTAGGGGGCGATATGGGTCTTTTCAGCAGCGCTGTTTCCGACCCCATACAACCGTCAACAACAACAGCAGGTCGGTGTCAGACGTCAGAAGTGTCTACAACTGCTGCTGGGCATTTTGGAGAAACAAGAAGATGGAGCATCGTACAGCGTTGTTTTTGTCCGACATGATGGACGCGCTACTTTTTCTAAAGATGAGACCAACGCTACTCCTCTACTCTGGGGGTTTTGTTACGGGGTTACAGGGGCATGGCTCATTGTCCGATCATACTCCGACTACGCTGGTTACATGATAGAGAAAATCGAATTCCAATCTCATTATCTGAGTGTCTTAATCAGAGTTCTTAAACTCTGATCATAGTCGGACTAAGGTGTTTACATGACCTTCAGTTGTCCAGTCTTGATCGGAATAAGGCGATAATTCGGTTTTCTCGAGTGTCATGGAAACGCACTGAGTGTGTTCAGGTGAAATCTGACAGAAGGGAACGCTTGGAAAAACCTGCACTGACACCAAAGTCCACATGAACCACCAACACTCTCCCTCCACCTGTGCACCCCCACCCTGCTCACACAGGTGAGTGATGATGTCATCAGGAGTTACCTTCAGCCTCCGCAGCAGCAGCAGCGCCACACATCTGCAGACACACACACAGGCATACACACACTCTCTCTCACACACACGTAGACCTCTTCATGGTGGGAATAAAACTTTAAATCTTTGACATCAGCTCCAGAATCCAGAAGGTTCCACAGAGAAGAAGAAGCAGCAGCAGACTGATTGGACTAAAACTTTATCAAACATTAAAAGGTTAAAAAATAAAACCAGCTGTAAAAACCGGAGCTGCTGATTGGTCAGAGGCCTCAGCAGACTTACGAACATGATGTCATAAAACCATCAGACACACACAAACACAGACGAGTAACTACAGACATAAGCCCCGCCCCTCCCCTCTTTTCAGTCTCTGTCATTATGTGGCGAGCGTCTCTCTGTACCGGCTCTAGCTCCGCCTCCTCGGCGCCCCCTCTTGGATGGTGTCCTGCCGTCCTCTGAGCTCTGTAGTTTTCTCTTCCCAGAGGAGGGGCCGGGTGTCCGAGGAGTACGAGGACTGGAGGAGGAGCCTCGCTGGGGGCTGTTCTCCCCCCCGACAGCTCCTCTGCGCCTCCTCTTCCCCTCCACCAGGTTATCTGAGGAGGATGAGGAGGAGCAAAGGTGGGATCAGAGAGGAGGTACAACAACCAAATATCAACCATAAACACAAAGAGGAGGCCTTTTCCTGGATCTTCAGAGCCCTAAAACTAGTCTGGGAGGTCAGGTCTTCAGTTACCAGGCCCCTCTTCAGGAAAATCATCTGTTATAGACTGCAATGACCTGAAATAAACTATAATAAACTGTTATAGAATGTAATAAACTGTTATAGACTGTAATAAACTGTTATAGACTGTAATAAACTGTTATAGACTATAATAAACTGTTATAGACTATAATAAACTGTTATAGACAGCAATGACCTGAAATAGACTGTAATAAACTGTTATAGACTATAATAAACTGTTATAGACTGTTATAAACTGTTATAGACTATAATAAACTGTTATAGACTGTAATAAACCGTGATAAACTGTTATAGACTATAATAAACTGTTATAGACTGTTATAAACTGTTGTAGACTATACTAAACTGTTATAAACAGCAATGACCTGAAATAGACTGTAATAAACTGTTATAGACTGTAATAAACTGTTATAGACTGTAATAAACTGTGATAAACTGTTATAGACTGTAATAAACTGTTATAAACAGCAATGACCTGAAATAGACTGTAATAAACTGTTATAGACTATAATAAACTGTTATAGACTGTTATAAACTGTTATAGACTGTAATAAACTGTGATAAACTGTTATAGACTGTAATAAACTGTTATAAACAGCAATGACCTGAAATAGACTGTAATAAACTGTTATAGACTATAATAAACTGTTATAGACTGTTATAAACTGTTATAGACTGTAATAAACCGTGATAAACTGTTATAGACTATAATAAACTGTTATAAACAGCAATGACCTGAAATAGACTGTAATAAACTGTAATAGAGTGAAATAAATTGTAATAAACTGTAATAAACAGTTGTGTGTGTGTGTGTGTGTGTGTTCGTGTACCCAGGCTGATGTCGGAGGCCTTGGTCAGGGGGGTGGAGGGTTCATACGGTCCCAGGCTGTGTTGCTCTCTCAGTTTGTTCCCCTGATCCAGAGACAGAATTATAGATGTCCTGCTGTACCACTGTCTCTGTCCGTCCTTCTCCACGCTGTACAGCAGCTCCTCGCCCTCCGTCTTATGGCCCTTTACCACCCCTAAACAAACACACACACAGTGTTACCATCTCAGTGTGACAGTGACCTCTCTCTGCAGACTGGTGTGACTGTTACCATGGAAACAGCAGACCAATAAAAACACTCTAGGATAGGATCTTAAAGTCCAAGTGAACAAAGGTCACTGACTCACCTGAAGGTGGTTCTGACTCGACCACACCTGTGCTGTATTACCTGTCCTCACCTGTGCTAAAATACTGGTCCTCCAGCAGGGCGGTGACCTCCGTTTCCACGGGGATGGGGTCACACAACAGGATGTCTTTTCCCGCCACCTCACACTCATAGCCGTCGTCAAAGCGCAGACGGAACTTGGCATCGCCGGTGTCCTTTATGATGCGTCCGGAGTAGAAGTACCCATTAGACGACCACTTGGCGACGACCCGCAGACCCACAAAGCTGCTCCCAGCCGAGCTTGCCTCCTCGGGGGACGAGCGCAGGGAGTCAGAGCGGGAGGAGGGTGAAGGTTCTGATGGACTGACGGGGAGGCGAGCAGGCGGTATCCCAGCGTACGGTTCATCCTCAGAGGAAGAGAGAGTCTGAGCGTGAGCACTGAGAGAGTATGCAGAGCTGACTCCGCCCCCTCTGACAGGGAGAGAGAGAGCGAGAGAGAGAGAGAGAGAGAGAGGAAGAGAAAGATAATATGTCAATACATGTCATCAAATAAGAGAAGAACTGCTCAAAATAACCTGAACAGCTGCTCCAGAGTTTTTATCTGCAAACATAATACTGACACGATTTATTCATTATTAATACTAATATTATTATTACTGTTGTATTATTATTATTATTATTGAATTATCATCATCATCATTATTATCAATATTGTCACCATTATTTTTATAATAATAATTATTATTATTACTGTATTATCATCATCATTATCATCAATACTATCATCATTATTTTTAATATTATTATTATAACTATTATTATTTTATAATAACAATAATAATAATAATAATTATTATTATTATTATTATTGTATTATCATCATCATTATTACCATCAATACTATCATTATTTTTAATATTATTATTATTATTATTATTATTATTATAACTATTATCATTTTATAATAATAATAATAATAAAGGTGATGTAGGCAGGAATCCATTAAAAAAGCATCTTTTTTATGTGGTGTATTCACAAAAAATCTTCTAATATCAGTCAATAGTTATTAGTTATTGATGACATTTGGTAATATATCGATATCTCTGTGTTCTCTTATGTCTGTGTCGTCAACATTTGAACATTTTTGAGCGGTCCGCTCTTTCTGACTGTAAACAAATTGGTTCTCCGCCTCCACAACGTCCCTGATCCCCGGTCTGATATTTTCTCATCTCTATTGTTTTAATAACCTTCGTAGATCTTTTTTCAAAGATTTACAGACCGACTCTGAAGATTTCTCAACCGTCTCAAACTCTGCAGGACCGTCGTTAGAGCCAATCTGTATGGTTTAGTGCTATAGTCCAGATTTGTGTATTTTAAATCTCTCATGCAGTTTTGTTGTTTTCCCAGTAGGAGGCTCCACCTGCATGTGAGGTGGAAGTGTTTCCTTGTCTCTTTAACCTATTTAGCGCTGATTAGATGCAGGTGTGTGTGTGTTTTGTCACCGCTGAGAGCATAAAAGTTGTTGACCGTTAATTAGTTTGTTTTTTGCACTTGTCAAGGACGAACTCGTATCTTTTCATGTAACTTTACCTTTTGGAACTTATTGGTGTGTTGTAAATAAAACTCATGGAGGATAATTATTCCAACGGACCTGTGGAGACTCATTTTTTTATTGAACACGTCACTCCCATGTTTAGCCAGTTTCAGTCACGTCTCGTCTTGTAGGTTTATTGTTTTTTTCTAGCTGCAGGTCAAGACGATAAACCGTTACAGACCCAAACACCAAACTCAGAGTGTTGGTTACTGATCGGATCAGAGAGGCGACAGTCAGCAGGTTAGTGAGAGCGGGAAAATAAAGAGTTAATAGAAACACAGGAGGGAGCGTTAGCTTACAGCTGTTAGCCTCACCTGACCCCTGACCCCTGACCTGAAGCCTCACACTGACTCACCTGGACAGAGAGGACTCACCTGGACAGAGAGGAGCGGGACGGGGGGCGACCCCTCTTGGCTCTGCCTCTGTGGGTGAAAGGAGTGAGGGCCCGGGGACCCAGGGAGGCGTGGCCGTGGTTTGCTGTGAGCGTCGACCCCGCCCTCTGACCCCTGTGACCCCGGGGACCCCTCTGGTGCTGCCCTCCTCCCCTGCGGGGGCTGCAGACACAGAGAGGGGGGGAGGAGTATGACAGCTAGGGAGCTATCCAAAGGGGGGAGAAAGGGGAGGAGTCTGACAGAACCTGAACCTGCAGCCTCACACTGAGGTCAGACTGCAGGACCTCTGTCAGGCCGATCGGACCACCAGAGACCGAAACGGAAATAACAGACCACATGGTGATACCCAACCAATCACCATCACTGATAAGTAAAAAAGGGGCGGGGCTAGAAGACACCTGGAAACACCTTCATGGTCTTTCCTCTGATTTTACTGATATTTGAGATTCTGCTCACTGATCCTCGTCTGTGTGGAAACGACGACGAAGCTCATCGAAGAGTTTCATCACCGTCACTGCTCAGACCACAGAGCTCAGCTTCTCACTGGACCTTCAGTCAGCTGACCACAGATACAGCCTATGATTGGTAGACAGACCAGAAGAAAGCTGGCAGCCTCGATCTAGCAGTGGTCCCAGGCGTGGTCTTGATTTTCATTCACTCTGATACAAACACACAGGGCTGGGCGGTATGGGACAAAGTTCATCACGATACATTTTTTTCATATCCGGATATAAAAATGAAACATGTCAGAATGACGACTATTGAAAAGCATATTGATCATGTTTTATATCGATATTGAGGGAAATTAATTTTCGATAGATATCGTTTTATCGCCCAGCCCTAACTAAACATGACAAAGCCATCGATCGTCGGGTTCCTGACTCCTTGTGTCTGATCGGCTGTAACTGTGCTGAAAAGGTTCGGACTGAGAGGCTCTCACACAGTCTGACTCCTGATTGGCTGAGCCCTCAGAGAGTTAGTTATCATCATGACGCTGCTTCATTAAGAGCTGATCGTGTCTAACTCTCAGTTCATCAGGTCTTCAGTTTAAATACTGAAGTGATAAAATATAAAATAGGTGTTTTATATGTTTCTAATTTCTTCTGTTTTTAAGTGACAGAGTTTGGAGCTCCAGTTTGAGGGTTCAGACGGCGGGTGAGAGTCTCTCTGTTCGACAGAGACAGTGAAACAGAGTCATGCAGGTAGATGAGACAGGTGAGAGCGGAAAGGGAAAGAGAGGAGCCAGATCCTGGTCTCTAGCACAGACCTGGACCTGGATCAGGATCTGTTGTGCGTACCTCGTTGACTTGCCCCCCCTGCTGGGCGGCAGGATGAACTCCGACCTGATGAAGCCGCCGCTGCTGCTGGTTCCTCCCGAGCTGTGCTGCAGGCTGGACGCCTTTGAGGACAGTGAGCTGACGTCCGCCAGGTCACCTGAGGTCACCGAGCTGCTTCCTGTCCTACATGGAGAGATGTCCCCGTCCAACACCTGACAGTCCACCACTGGCTCCTCCCTCTCCTGTGACATCACAGCGGGGGCAGATGTAAACGTCTGTATTTTCTTTGTCTCAGGATTGAAGACTCTCTGAGGACGAGCTGGACACCTGTTCAGGGACACAGGTTCACCTGTCTTACCTGGGACACCTTTCTGTCCACCTCTTTCCCGTCCTCGTAATAAACGTCTGTGATGATGCGAGTGACTGTGGTCCTGACTTCCTGGATGGTGCGCACGTGTCTGCGGTGGGCGGGGCCTGTGTTTCTCCTGAAAGGCGGAGACCCCGGTTCCCCCTGTGTGACGGAGACGGACAGCTATTAGCATCACGTCTCCACAGACAGCAGAGACACTGTCTCCATATGAAGTAGATGTTTCGTACCCGTCCTGATGGTGACCGCAGTCCTGCTGAGTCTAAACTCGTCTGCTGAGAGGTCGCCTTCTGACGGGGCTGAGACACACGGGTAACAATCATCGCCGTTATCCTCATTATATTTATTAACATGACCATCTTTATCATCAACTTAGACAGGTGAGGAGCAGGTTTAAAGAAGGTGAGGAGCAGGTTTAAAGAGGGTGAGGAGCAGGTTTAAAAAAGGGTGAGGAGCAGGTTTAAAAACGGGTGAGGAGCAGGTTTAAAGAAGGTGAGGAGCAGGTTTAAAGAAGGTGAGGAGCAGGTTTAAAGAAGGTGAGGAGCAGGTTTAAAAACGGGTGAGGAGCAGGTTTAAAAACGGGTGAGGAGCAGGTTTAAAGAGGGTGAGGAGCAGGTTTAAAGAGGGTGAGGAGCAGGTTTAAAGAGGGTGAGGAGCAGGTTTAAAGAAGGTGAGGAGCAGGTTTAAAGAAGGTGAGGAGCAGGTTTAAAGAAGGTGAGGAGCAGGTTTAAAAACGGGTGAGGAGCAGGTTTAAAGAAGGTGAGGAGCAGGTTTAAAAACGGGTGAGGAGCAGGTTTAAAGAGGGTGAGGAGCAGGTTTAAAGAAGGTGAGGAGCAGGTTTAAAAATGGGTGAGGAGCAGGTTTAAAGAGGGTGAGGAGCAGGTTTAAAAACGGGTGAGGAGCAGGTTTAAAGAAGGTGAGGAGCAGGTTTAAAGAAGGTGAGGAGCAGGTTTAAAAATGGGTGAGGAGCAGGTTTAAAGAGGGTGAGGAGCAGGTTTAAAAACGGGTGAGGAGCAGGTTTAAAGAAGGTGAGGAGCAGGTTTAAAGAAGGTGAGGAGCAGGTTTAAAGAAGGTGAGGAGCAGGTTTAAAGAAGGTGAGGAGCAGGTTTAAAAACGGGTGAGGAGCAGGTTTAAAGAAGGTGAGGAGCAGGTTTAAAGAAGGTGAGGAGCAGGTTTAAAAACGGGTGAGGAGCAGGTTTAAAGAAGGTGAGGAGCAGGTTTAAAGAAGGTGAGGAGCAGGTTTAAAGAAGGTGAGGAGCAGGTTTAAAAACGGGTGAGGAGCAGGTTTAAAGAAGGTGAGGAGCAGGTTTAAAAATGGGTGAGGAGGTGAGGAGCAGGTATAAAAACAGGAGAGGAGCAGGTTTAAAAACAGGTGAGGAGCAGGTTTAAAGAAGGTGAGGAGCAGGTTTAAAGAAGGTGAGGAGCAGGTTTAAAGAAGGTGAGGAGCAGGTTTAAAAACAGGTGAGGAGCAGGTTTAAAAACGGGTGAGGAGCAGGTTTAAAGAAGGTGAGGAGCAGGTTTAAAAACAGGTGAGGAGCAGGTTTAAAAACAGGTGAGGAGCAGGTTTAAAGAAGGTGAGGAGCAGGTTTAAAGAAGGTGAGGAGCAGGTTTAAAGAAGGTGAGGAGCAGGTTTAAAAACAGGTGAGGAGCAGGTTTAAAAACGGGTGAGGAGCAGGTTTAAAGAAGGTGAGGAGCAGGTTTAAAAACAGGTGAGGAGCAGGTTTAAAGAAGGTGAGGAGCAGGTTTAAAGAAGGTGAGGAGCAGGTTTAAAAACAGGTGAGGAGCAGGTTTAAAGAAGGTGAGGAGCAGGTTTAAAGAAGGTGAGGAGCAGGTTTAAAAACAGGTGAGGAGCAGGTTTAAAAACAGGTGAGGAGCAGGTTTAAAGAAGGTGAGGAGCAGGTTTAAAAACAGGTGAGGAGCAGGTTTAAAGAAGGTGAGGAGCAGGTTTAAAGAAGGTGAGGAGCAGGTTTAAAAACAGGAGAGGAGCAGGTTTAAAAACAGGTGAGGAGCAGGTTTAAAGAAGGTGAGGAGCAGGTTTAAAAACGGGTGAGGAGCAGGTTTAAAGAAGGTGAGGAGCAGGTTTAAAGAAGGTGAGGAGCAGGTTTAAAAATGGGTGAGGAGCAGGTTTAAAAACAGGTGAGGAGCAGGTTTAAAAACCGGTTTAAAGCAGGTGTTACTGACCGTTTTGTTCTGGCTCGGGCTGATGTTGTTCTCAGAGATCTGGGAGGGGACTCTGGCTCTGCTTGGGGTCTGAGGAGCTTCAGGGGGTCCTGGTCTGACTTTAGATGGCTCTGCTGGACCTGTAGGATCCTTTGAGGTCTGCTGTGGAGCTGTAAACACCTGCTGCTCTGATTGGCTGTTCGAGATGCTGTTACACCCCAGGGAGGCCTGAGAACTCCTCTGAGGAGAGGCGAACAGCTCCCCCCTGTGGACAAGAACATCAATTCTTTAATCTATGGACTCTTGCAGTCTAACAAGTCCGAGTGAGGAGGTTTGATTTCAGTTTGGCTTTAAGTGACAGTATAATTATCTGTAAAATACAGACAGCACAGTGAACACAGAGTCCAGGGTTCGAATCCTCTCTGTGTTCAGGTAACGTTTCATCTACTGACCTGACTCTGTCAGAGAGAGAGAGAGAGAGGAGAAAACAGCTCCAGCCGTCCCAGAGGACCACGAGCAGGAAATAACCAGCCTCACCTCACCTCACTAAGTAGGTCTCCCTCTCTCTCCCTCTCTTTCTCTCTCTCTTTCTCTCTCTCTCTCTAACTCACAGCAGGAATGTGTCAGTGCCTCCTTACACTTTGGAACAGAGGAAACAGCTCCATGAATCACTCAGACACGAGGAGCTTCTGCAGGTCAGTAAACATTCAGGGTCAGACTCTAACTTTGTTCACATGTTCTCCTGAGTTAAAAAAGTAAGGAGCACAAAGAACTTCAGGGGAACAATGAAAATTTATCAAATAATGTTTCTCTTATTGATGGACCTTAGTACTATTATTAGAAATCAATTTTAGGTCTTTTGGTCACATGACAGTGAAGCTATTGAAGGAAAACAGCCTTTTCTGAGAACATCAACCGGTTATTTATTGACGGTCCCTTATTCAACACCGACGTTGACAGTGAGGGTGTCGAGTAGATTTAACCGCGCTGCTGTTGTTATTCCCGGTTATGGAGAGTGAGAAGACACCGGTAGATCCTCAGAGAATGTCCGTCAGATATCCAACCTGAAACTAACTTCACCGCCGTATTTACAGGAGAATATATCCAACCTGAAACTAACTTCACCGCCGTATTTACAGGAAAATATATCCAACCTGAAACTAACTTCACCGCCGTATTTACAGGAAAATATATCCAAACTAAAACTAACTTCACCGCCGTATTTACAGGAAAATATATCCAACCTGAAACTAACTTCACCGCCGTATTTACAGGAAAAAACATTTGTTGATTTTTTTTTATGCTCACGTGACCCTAAATACATTTTACATTTTCACACACGTCTATTTTAGACGCACTGTCCTGCCCTGACATTAGTTCTCCAATGTTGACCCTCCTGGTTTAGGGTCAAACTCAGAACCAATAAAACCTCACACACTGATTCCTGTTTGCTGATTGGCCAGTTTGGGTCTGTTGCTCGTTGTCCTGGTTCAGTGTAAACTATGAATGCGTGCTGCCATCAGAGGAGGGGAGAGGTACAGCCCTGTCTGTCTCACCTGTGCTGTAAAGGTGTGCTGTTTACCTGACAGGTGTGCTGTCTTCTGCATCCTGGTCATCAGCTGTGTCCTGCTGTCTGTGGACCTGTCTGACCCGGCTGAAGACTGATGGACTGCTGAGACATAAGAGACACATTAGAGACCCGATAGACACACACACACACACACACACACACACACACACACACACACACACACACACACACACAGCCTCTCCGGTGTTCAGCTCACCTGTTGAGGACCTGGTGAGCAGAGGACACCTTCAGCACAGGCCCCTCCCCCTCTGACAGGACAGGCTCTGAGGAAGACAGAGAGGACTTTAACGACTTTACCTGCATCGTTTCCATGGAAATTATCCTCTCACTAAAATGTGGGTCATGTGATGCATGATGTGATGATGTCACGGCGTGCAGACGGCCTTACTCTGCAGGCTGAAGCACCCTGAGCTGCCCTCCTCCACGGGGGTCACCAGCTTCATCCTCAGACTCAGCTTCCCCTCCCCCCTCTCCCCCGAGTCCTCCCTGCTCTCCCCCGACACGATGTCGCTCGCCGCCATCGCCACGTCAGCAGAGACGTCAGCGGACTTCTCGGAGAAGGAGGAGATCTCTGCCGAGAGACACAGGAAACAACATCAGATCATTACTCCGCAGAGAGAGAGAGAGAGAGAGACGCCATTCTGTGCAGCTGCTGCAGGTAAACCGACCAATAGGAGTGCTGTGTCTCAGCGTCTGCTTCAGTTGGGCAATCAGAGGGGGCGTGGCTCCCACAGCAGGACCAATCAGCTCCCCCTCTTTCGGCAGGGTGAAGTGGAAGGAAATCTCTGAGGCAGAAAAATCAGATTGATAAATCAGGCTGACGACAGAAATAAACATGAAAACACCTGACAGAGCGAAGAGCTACATCACTCTTAACGTGGCGCCGGCGTCCTGATCCTCTCGACACCAACTCCAACATCAACACCCCACCTACGCCTGAGTTTACACCTCATGTACCAGGAACTTTAGACCCAGGAACTAATCTTTAATCGACCTCATCAGTGTGTGTTTTTCTGTGTGTGTTTGTTCGTGTGTATATGTGTATATGTATGGCCACCAACCTCCTGAGCTGTCACTCAAACTCTTCTCCTTCAGCCCCTCTGCTTCAGGCCCCGCCCTCTCAGGCTGAGACAGCCTATCAGAGGGCAGCCTCTTGTTCTGATGCCCATTGGAGGAGACGTTAACGTTGCCTCTGATTGGCTGAGAGCTGCTGATCTTTGAGCGTCTGCTCTGAAAGTTTCTGTTGCTCTCTGTGACGATGATGACGCTGTCCTCCTCTTCCTCTCTGTCCTCCTCCTCCTCCTCTCTATCAGCTGACTCTGAGAGAGGACCAGAGCCATCCCTAAAGCCCCGCCCCCTGTGCTCTCCTCCTCTTCCATCACCTCCTCCTCAGTGTCTCTGGCGGTCTTGCTCCGCCCTCCTGCTTCACTCTCACCGTCAGAGTCTCCTCCCCCTCCTCCTCCTCCTCTCAGGTGAGCAGCAGTCTTCATCACCTGTTCAGATTTTGGAGGGGTCAGAGGGGCGGGGCCGGTGGGCGTGTCCTGCACACAGCTGTTTCTCTCAGAGGAGTCAGACTGAGAGTTGACCTTTCCTCTGTCAGCATGTCTGTGTGTCACTGTCGTGTTTTTGACCTTCAGAGCATCCTCATCGTTTCTATGGCGATCAGACCGGTCGGTCCGCTCGCTCTGATGGTTCTGACTCTCCGCGGACAGCTTGGTTTGAGACCTGGAGGCGGTCTGTGACTGTGACTGTGAGCTGACTTTGCTCAGCTCGCCACGTGACGTCACAGAATCACAGACGTCAACGGCGGGTTCGGTTAGATCCTCGATCTGTGTGGCCTGACTGTCCTCGCCAGGCTGGTCCGAGGTCAGCTGATCAGACCGGGCGCTCTGAGAGTTGACGGACAGCTGCAGACAGACGGGAACGGAGTCCCCCCTCTGAGACTGAGATGGCGTCCTCCTCTTCTCCGAGTGCTGAGGCGTCTCCTGGCTCTGAGTCGGGACAAACACGTCCTGAAAACACAAACACGACATTTGAGGAGACCTGCAGGGG